GCCAATTCATTTGTGAACCTTAAATGGAGGTTGAGGTTCGAACCCCACGATAGAGTCGTTCAAGACAATCACTGCTCTTTTCTATACATTATTTGTATTTATATATTATGAATGCAAAAGTCAATAAACAGAAAATCTAATTTGTTAGGTGTGAAGGGCACGTCAAGACCACGAGGGTAATGAGGGTGCGTCAGGGGTCACGGGGATTTGTGACCTTTAGCAGCACTAAGTAGAGACAAACTAAAGTATATTAGGAATAAGGTTTCATTAAAAATAGACTTTCGTAGCTAAACAATAACTATGATAAGCGGTCATCGCAAATGGGATCGGGATTCCGGTTTCCTCACGATGCTCAAACGTACAAGTGTTAAATGCGGACAAAGTCCATTGGTGCACAGCCGTGAACATACGACCTTAGTTCAGCACCGACCGCAGTTCTCTTACTTTCCTTATGTTTTCAACATACACTTTCTATAACACTAGACATAAAATTGTTAAAAAAATCTCGTTATAAGGTTAACTCTATTCGAAAAAATTGTAATTGGACACAGATCACAGAGTAAACACAATTTGACAGGACAATACGAAAGAGTTGTTACAAAAAGAATGCAAAAAGACTGATTTTATTTAACTTTTGCTCTCGAACATCACACAAGGAGGACAATCAGGTACATCTGAAAATATGTTATAGAATATACCCTACGTGTGAAAATGACATGAGAACTTTAGAAGGCGCCAGAACAGATCCATGCAAGTTCCTCACAATCGAGTAGCCCGCAATATCTCAGCACACACGAGGGACTCTTTGTTGAAGAAGTCACATAGGTCCAAGCATGCGCAAATATAGTGAAAATACATAATTATTTAGAAATAATAAAAATAATAATAGCAAATAATTGAAGCAAGGTTGCGAAAAATATCCTTTATAATCTTTCATTACAGTTTCATTGTAAATCCGACACGATCTGTAAACACAACCATTAAAGGGATATTTGTTTCTAGTCAACTGTTTTAATACAGTTTGTTTTTCGCAAACAAAAATAGCCACAGCCGCGCAAGTAACAGCGCATTACGTCCATTACAATACAACTATCATTACACCACTATTGATTCCTAATCCGCACTTCCGGTTACGCAAGCATCCCCCCACCCCCCCCACTTCTCGCGCCCCCAGATTTACGCCCCCCCTTGACGAATGATCGGATGCCTCGCTATTTTGTTACACTGAAGTGTCCGGTCGGTTTGATATAAGGGAATGTTCTGGCTCTTTACTATTTTTTCTTTCACAGATTATAAATTATAATAATCCAACAAGTAAGTAAACATTTGACAGTGTTTGTGGTCTATCTCAGTTCAGTCTCAGCATAGCGCGCGACAAATGCATTGGAAAAGAGTTAAAAAAATATATTTTAATATAAAAAAAAAGTTGTCTAATGAGATCCGTGGTTTCAGCGGCCGTAGGTTCGATCCCTGTGCATCAATGGACTTTTAATGTACGCATCTAACACTGAACAGAATAACAAAAGTCGTTGGCGTGTCAAGCACAAAAGGTTGTAAACCTACTTGCCTATGAGAAGGAATGATCACGAAAGAAATAATGTATATTTCATTCGTGAGACCTTAAAAGGTTAACCTTAAAGGCGCCATTGGTTTTAAAGACGTCCATTTTTTTTAATAGGGGGGCAAACGACCCTATGGGACACCCATTTTTAGTGGGTGCGTTGCCGGCCTTTGAGGGAAAAACCAAATACAATTAAACTTTAATAGGATCTGAGTTTGTTTATAAAGATCAAATATTTTCCTGTATTAAATTATTTATTTATTAATACTACGTTACATTAAAATAAAAACAAATAACATAAATTATTAGGGATGCAACGGGCGGCCTTATGGCTAACAAGCGATCTCTTTTATGCAACCTTAGTAAGAGAAAAACAAAAACAAGATATATTAATAATTGTAGCTGTATTTAATTAAATCATCAATAAAAGCGAAAACCCATTATCATTTCTTAAATAAATAGAAATAATAAATTCAGTTATGCAATACGATTTATGATAATATGCAAAAATACGACATACACTATCTAGACTATCTAAACTATGACGAATGTGTTATTCTGACATACTTAAAAACATGCTTTAAACGAATACATTTAATTATAACTATAAATGTTTTTGTAATTAGCATTTTGATGTCTTAAGTGTCGTTTTTGAAACCCTTCAATCTAGTTTTTAATCCGCACAAAACAATTATTCTTATTTTTAACTTTTAATTTAATTTACATTTTTATTAATTTTACTATGTACACAAGACTTCATTACGTACACTGGTAACTCTTAATAATATTTTTTTTTGTGGTAACTAAGTTTTTACATTCCTTTTCTTTCTTTGCCACTGAGGCGCAAACTAGCTGTGGTCTCTGGAAGAATGACCAGCGCTGTGGAACAGTCTGCTCCTCAGCATAATGCTCAGCCAGGGCCAATAACAGCCACAGCACACACGCATTACACACTTAAAACTAACCGAATGGGAAAAGGAAACAAAAATATTTATTATTATATCATTATATTTTTTTTATTTTATTATTTTCTTTGATTATTTATATTTTTTGTGTTTATGTGTGTGCGTTTTTGTTAGTAATAAATGTAATGTATATCTATGGCTTAGACAAACGATAAATCATTAAAATTAATTAGATAACTATCTAATTATTTCCGTATAGAGTTACGTTGAGAATGCTCCATGGTCCACTACACAATCTCATTCTCTCTTCCCCTTTCAAACAACTCATCTAGAACCACGCTGACATTCCCAGGAGCCGCACGGCACGGGTTCGTCTCTTCTTGTAACAGCAAAGAAGTGGCTCCCTTCCATCTTCCCTTGACAATTTAATATGGGTTAATTTAAGCAGCGGTTATAATGACATCTCCTGGCGTGCCCTCCAATAGGCCACATCTCACTTAACATCAGATGGAATTGTGTTTAAACCTCTGTCCAGTTCTGAATTTAAAACAAAAGTAAAACTTGAGCCTATTTGACTGTTGTAAAGTATTAAGGTAGGTAGCGCCACTAGTGGCCAAAATAAGAACTAATGTACGCAAATCTAGCGCATTCCAAACAATTCTCCAAAACCGTAGCTCGGATATAACCTTGAGAACGCGCGGTACTAAAACTCAATTTTAAAGTATAAATATACACTTTAATACAGCAAATTGTTTGACCAATTGTTAGTTTTGTCAAACTTGTGTTGTCGAATTTGATCTACACCAATGAATGTTTCTTTTTAAAACTTTGTTAACACATAATATGAATAAAAAACATCGTGAATTATTGGTCATATTTGTGACAAGATGGAGTCTAAGATATGGTTACGATGCCTTTATAAGCAAGGATAAAAGAGAGATCCATTAACCTCATTAGTGTTCACCTCGAGATATAAGTAGTTACCTCAGTTATTATTTCGCTATTAATACATATTACATATATAAATTTCCCTCTAATGAAAATCTTCAAAACATTCGATCTAATATTGATTATTTAATTACGTCCCAAGTGTATTACAAATATAATTTTATTTAAACTATCTGTAGAATAAACTTGTGTGATTAAAGCGTATAAAAGTACTACCAAAAACCTTTTGGATTTGACATACGGAATTATACTTACGGAATAGGGGTACACATTATCCAAAGAGATCTATGTTTAGTCTAGAAAAACTATGTTCATAACTAATGTTAAATTTTCCTATTAATTTAAGAAAAACAATATGAGTGCAACGCAAGTACCACTCTCTCGTAAGCTGTTAATTCATCTCAGCTTTATTGGGTACTTGAAATTACAATTTAGAATTATGTACTTAACAATATTTATTTTTTAAATAAATACTAGGTATGTCCTATTGTCTGTATAATAAAATTGGAGATAAATCTAAGGCGCGAAAGAACTACGCATTGCATTTCGTGTCATCGACGCCATACGTCATATGTTTTCGCTACGAAATCGATCTATGCATTCGTCAAATGCGCGTCACGGAGCTTTTGCAAGGGGTCACTCTGACAGCCTGCCGCCGCGAGCTTCCGTGCAAGTGTCCGGCGCAGGGGGCGGAGTGGGCGTGCAGTCTGCACCGCCCCCGCGCGTCCCCCCCTTTCCCCCTTGCCCCCCTGTTTATTCTCGGCCGAGTGGCGGGGCGACAGTCGCCCGCGTGACGCGCCACGAACCGCACGCGCGTACAACGTACAAACACGTCCGCCGAACGGTGCATTCAATACCGGACACCCGAAAAACAAATTGTACGACATCACATCAATTTTACGTAACGCATAAATCGCGAAAAATCACCGCATCGGCTTAAAGCGACGGTATTGCGGAAAATGCATTTCCTGGGTGCAAAGCGCAGGCGGAATGGCGGGGGGTGCAAGCAATGATGGACATCGTATTGATTTCTATCTGCTCCTCCCTTATTGTCGCGGTGCAGGGCAGACATCGATCGCTGCACCGGCCCTAAATTAACACCCCGATCGCCATCTCACCCCCAGTACGTTTTTACTCGGAGTAGTGTTGTGTTCATCGTCATTAACCTCACATGATCGCGCAAATGATCAATGTAATTATTATTTGATCACCTTAATGATTAAATTGAACAATTATCTAAATTACTCAAATTATATAAAAGGCTAAACGGTACAGTTTTATTTTAATTGTTAAATTTATTTTAACATTACGTCTCCTTTTCGGTTTATCAGTGTTAAACGAGGGAATTAGAAATACCGTCGCTTGCCCCGGTGCGAATTAAGAATCGACTCTAACAGGAAATATTTTGCAGGATAATAACTGAAGCTTTAAAAGTGGGCCGTGACGCGCAGATTTATTTGTCAGACAAGTGAGAAAAAGGCATTAAAGTGGCGACGCTGGGCGCGCGCGTGGAATGCGCAGGAGTGGATTTGTTTAATTCGCGGGCACGGACAGATTCAGCCGTGTCTCCTTCAGAACACCCGGCCATGGCGACCGAAACCGGTAAGTATTTACTAAAATAAACGTTGCGTCCTGTCTATTAATTTTCTAGTGATTATTTTGAATACGATGCTATTTTACAACATAAATGATTACTAAGAACATTAAACTTGATAAATGGATACAATTATTAATAGGTATGCATCTAAAACCTTTCATTATTGTATGTACTTATTAAATGCAAAGAAATTATGCTTTGAATTTTATTTACGTTATAAAAATACAATTTCTCATTATGAATTTATATTTTCAACAAAAATTTATCTCAAAATTTGGAATCACTTAACAAAAATACAGATACAATTTGATGTGGATATTTGTATCGAAAAACTGTATATCTTTGTATGATAACTGAGATTGAACGAAAATATATCGAAATTTACATACTTTTGTCCGAAAATCAACAATTCAAAGAGGTCTTTCGGTAAATTTAATCCGTCTTGTAGGCAAGTCTTATCAATTATGAAATAAAGATGAACTTTTTGCAACTAAAATCACTTATCAATTATAAACTAAAATGCAATATTTAAATGCTTCCATTATTTGTATGATTTAAATAAATGTATAGATTCTTATAAAATATTTTTATCTTGTGCTATTTATTGTAGATTGTCTATAGAAAAAGTATTTGTCAACAGTTAAAACAAATATATTATTGATAAAACTTTTTTGAACGGTCGTTTTTACATTTAAGGAGGTTCGTAGAGAAAAAAGCTGTAATATACACCAAGAGTTATCTAATAATAAATTGCATGCATTCTACGTAATATTATGACAATGTATACTAAAGCATCATTATGTATGGCTTCGGCGAATATAATTCTCAAAGAGAAACTATAAATCATTCCGACTGAGCACTGAATTAATCGGTAAAAGTGCAGCGCCATCTATTGCATCAAGCTAATATTGAATATAATTCGTCCCGAGACATATAAGTGTAGTTTTCGGTCCCAAGATACTTTATTTCTCAAAGAATAACATTCAATTAATGAGGCTTTTTACTTTTTAATAGTCGTAGAAGAGGGCTACATGGATTTTGGCCACAAATTGCATTTCTTTGTTCATTTTCTATCCATAGATATGTGCTTTTGCTTGTCACGTAGACCTTCGTCTAACCCTGATTCAGGGCCGAATAGCGCTGTGATTTCCGTATTGCAAAAACATATTGGAATTCACATACACAAGTCATAAATCGTGGTAAGTCTCACCGTAAGATTTGCCGCTGTCTTTCCCATGTGTTCACCATACGAATTTGCGCATAAAATGAATAGTCTATTGGGGCACAGCCAACACACGATTTCAGGGAGTCACGATCGAACCGCTAGTCCCACTTTATATATATATATAAAGGTACTTTTAATTTCATTAATCACGTCACGCATTACGCAGTTGTTTACCAACAAAGTAGATATATCGCGTACGTCAACGTACGTATGAGTTCGTTGATATTACCCCCACCCAATGCCCCCCATACCCCCGATCCTACAGGACTTGGGATGAGGCGAAAGCTTTCAGTCTCGATCTGGATGAAATTATAATTTTAAACGCAAAAACGTTCTTAATTACTAGAAAGTTTAGTGACTCGCTTACAAATTATATTATATCGTTAGTTTAAGATCAGTGGAAACGTTTTAACTATTTCTTACTAACAATCCCTAACCAAGTTAGTTATTTATTACTAACCATTAGTTAACAATTTAACAATAATGCAACAGGACTTATTGCTGCTAAGCAATCTATTCTATGAAATCCATAAAATTTGTAAGACTAACTAAAATGTAATGAGGCAAATTTTGCTTCCACATCTTTTCCGCATTGCAATTGTTTAAAAAAGAGTGCACTCCGCGTTCAAAGGCCGGCAACGCACAATAATGACTGTCATATTTTTGGCTGTCCCGTAGGCTCGTGTCTTATATAAAAAAATTGAATTAATAAACTTAATGTCCAGTGATCAATAAAACTTCGAATAGTTCAGTGTTATCAAATTTTAATTGAATTTGTGTAATGACGTCATCTCTAAACGCTAAAGCAATTATTAATTAAAAGATCGTAAACAACGGTAAAATAAATCCGCATTTAATTTTGCGTAGTTTACACAATTTGTTAAATTTGTTTATAAACCAAGTCATTATTTAATTATAAAACGGTTTTTCTTCCATAGCATGTCTCTAAATCGTTGTAAACGATTTGCTCCTTTAAATTGTGATTTTTTATATGCTTTATATTTTTATATGGCGTTGCGTAGAGATGTGGGGTCACTCTGCGTCTTCTTCCGCATTTACCATGGAGTCTTCAGAGGAGTTGTTCGGATTAATATCGGCAGCTGATTTTTATCACCGGACGTCCAGGCAGAATACGAAATTCCACCCGTATCACCTCGACGTCCGTCGTTCCATAACTGAGCGTTTTTAAGGCAGTTTTTGCCGCGCACCACCACTATGTGGAACCAGCTGCCCACTGAAGTATCCAGAACCAATTCGAATTCCTTCAAGAAAAGATCGTACCAATTCTTAAAAGGCCGGCAACGCACTCGCGAGCGCTCTGGCATTGAGAGTGTCCATGGGCGGTATCATTTACCGTTTGTTTTGTTAAAAAGAAATACTTGATAGGCTGATTCATATTCAAAGCGATTAATCTAGTTTCAACGCGCTTCGTATAAATCAATCATTAAGTCTCATTTATTTCCTTGATATTATCCATAAAGATAATATACTTATTATACAAATTATTTTTACTTTAAGATTATAGTCAACTGGCTCCATCTATCTCTCTCACTAAGTGTTCAATTGGTCTCTAATTATTATGTGAAAATATATTATTTGTATTTACGGTGAATCCGTCTAACCTCTCACAATTTCTCTTTGATAATTTTTCTTATAGACAACTATAATTCTTTATCTGTGACAGATTTTTGGTTCTATGTAATGCCGTTTTCTCAGGATGATTTCCTTGTACGAGTTTCTTTGTTGTATTTTTTCACTAAAATTACATTAGTGTTAATTATCTTATTTGTTAGATTAAATTGTATTTTATTTGTCACCTCGATAGCATGATGTACTTTCGGATCCAGAATAAAAAAATATGTATTTGTTTAAAAGTATCTCAGAAATAAAACAAACTTAGGCTGAGATTCAGATATGAGACTTAGCGCGAAAATGACTCGTCAAAACGCTACGACATTGTCCAATGATAAAACCTTTTTCTTCTCCATATTCTGAAACATGATCTTCATGAATAAAATTTTCGAAAGCGCTTTTATCTACTATTAGAGATATACAGAGCTCCAGTTTATTCACAGCTTACCTTAGTTTTATTCACGGCTCTATATAGCTTTTTGGCCTCAAAACCTAAATTTGTAAACCCCGGTTAAAATAGAGAATCTCCCCGCACCGAAATTCAATTTTAAAGTCAATGTTTTATTCCCGAGTTTTATAAATTTCGCATTTTGAATACTGCATAAATGTACAGCTGGCCGGCAATGGCTATTTACAATTCAAATTTCCACTCATTGTATTAAACGATACCATTTGTTATTTAGGTTCAACTTTAAAATAATTCTAAAGTATTTTTAAAACTTTATACAAATAAACGATTCTTGTCCTATTAATCTGGGAGTGACATTAAAAGTTATACTGACGCATATGTTCAGTAGCGCCTACAAGAAAATTATTAGCAAACATTTTTAAACGCGATACAAGGGGGTGCATACATAATGCCGTCAGATTTTTATTTAAATATTTATTTTTAAAGACGTCACGAATATATGCAATATGCATATCACGTATCTATACACCATATTAACTAAATATTATCTTAATCTAGATCAAGATATAATCAAACATTGTTAACGGACACAATATATATATAGCCCCTATATATTGAAGAGTTTTATTTTTCTTTCTATACATATTTATTTTGCCCACTTGTAACACTAGTGTGGCACCCAGGCGGCGCCGCGGCCGGCGGTGAACAGCAATACTCATTGCGATGGAACGACTTCCACTCGGCTATGGTCTCCTCCTTCAGGCGGCTCCGGGATGAAGAGGATTTCGTTGACGTCACACTCGCATGCGCAGGCGCAACGTTTACAGCACATAAGGTAAAAACATTTGTTACTTTGTCTCTTATTTTAATATTTATTTTTGAAGTGGAAAATATTATGATAAGATCTTCTATTTGGCTGCACTAAAATCACGACAAGTAGGTAGATTTACTGCCAGATCTGCTGCTGGCAGCTCCTCACTCTATCAGCTATTATTTGGAGACGAATCCAGCTATTCAATTACTTAGTGTTTGTTTCCTAAATGACACTTTTTCACCAGGTGGTACTATCAGCGTGCAGTCCCTACTTTCGACGGCTTTTAAAGGCGAATCCTTGTCAGCATCCCATCGTTATCTTGAGAGACGTTCACGACAAAGATATGGAGAGCTTACTCAGGTATTTATTTATTTAATTCGAAAGGAGTTAAGGATAATTTTAAGGCATGATAAGACATTTCTGAATTACCGAATTTTTTTAAAATAAAATATATCATAATAAAAAAAGATAGAGGTATTTGAGATGTGATGTTGGAATGTTACACATACGGGCGAGGCCCCACTACTGCGTTGCGTCGCGTCGTCGCATCGGATCGACGCATTGTATTATTGTATACCACATCTGCGTTGCGTCAACGCATGACGTCGCGACGCAAGAGGGTATACACGCCGTCGCATCTGCGTCTCAGCCTTCGCAATGGACAGACACAAACTTGTTCTTTTGTTGCTTTTATTACGCCACCGTCGAATTAAACTTAGAAACCATAGAAGATTCTGGATATCTCCTCTGATATCATTAAGAAATAGTGATCACCCTCCCCCCTGCTTCGTCTCTCGTTCGTCGATCCGTTGAAACGTCGCGCGACGACGACGACGCAACGGTGTAATGGGGCATGTATAAGAAATAATATGGGAAACGTCGTAGCGGCGACGCTGCGACGACGCAACGCAGCGCAACGCACTAGTAGGGCCTCGCCCTATCATGGACTGCGAAAAGAACCAATAAGTCAATTTTCAACAAACTAAAGATCACCACAAGACTGTTGACTAACATTTACAAACGGGTGCTTAGCTGCTTTGGCTATATTGCCAGGAGAGAACCGAATAGTCTCGAGAAGTTGGTAGGGAGGAGTGATGGAAGAAGTCGGGGTCGAACGCCCACCCTCTGGTCTGACCAAATAAAGACAATTATGGGTCTCAACATCCGTAATGCACTGAGACAAGCTGAGGATATGGTGGTGTGGAAGCCGCAAGTCAACGTATCGGTTAGGGCTTTTTGATCTTTTGCGTTACGTAGAGATGTGGGGTCACTCTGCATCTTCTACCGCATTTACCAAGTGCAGTGTTCAGAGGAGTTGTTCGGATTAATACCTGCAGCTGAGTTTCATCATCGGACGTCAAGGCAGAGTACGAAGTTCCACCCGTATCACCTCGACGTCCGCCGTTTCACATCTGAGTGTTTTTCAAGGCGTTTTTGCCGCGCACCACCACTTTGTGAAACCAGCCGCCCACTGAAGTATTTCCGAACCAATTCGACTTAGGGGCCTTCAAGAAAAGAGATTTCCAATTCTTAAAAGGCCGGCAACGCACTCGCGAGCCCTCTGGCATTGAGAGTGTCCATGGGCGGTGGTATCACTTTCCATCAGGTGAGCCTCCTGCCCGTTTGCCTCTGTTTCTATAAAAACATTTTTTTTTTAATATATTGACCTATGCATCAATAACAACTAAGTTCTAGTTAATTGAAATCCTTTAACCCTTCAATTAAATACAAGTCAAGGTCAAGTATGTGAGCTGCGACTACCAAAGCTAGAGGAACAGGAGACTAGTTGAGTTCCTAACATAAGTTTTTCTTCAGGTTCATGTATCAGGGTGAGGTTCACATCGGCCAAGAGCAACTCAAAGAGTTCCTGCGGGCAGCTCAACTGCTCCAAGTGCGAGGTCTTACAGATGTACCACCACCAGCACCCCTCACCACACTGGATCAGAAGGCTTCACCCGTGAGTAATTGACGACTTTTATACTTTTCTCTTCACTTAATTCTCATTTAGAGGTATGAAATCTGTATGTTATTGACGATGTCATGTTTAATCAAATTTATTTTGTAAACACTTGGGTCGTTTAATAACCATTACAGTTAGTTATTTTAACTAGAAGTCCTTAGTACGAAATATATAATCTTCAAGACTGAATTTAATAAATAATAACCAAACATCTCAATGACGAAAGTAACAATTCCATTTTAAGAATTTTAATATTAAGACATCAAAATCTGACCATTGAATATTGCAGTTTTTCTTCATAGACTTCTGGCTTTCCCTCGTGAGTAGTAGAAATGGGGCAAGCCTGCATACCTATAATTTTCTGGACGCCTAAATGTTTTGCTTATTGAATCAATTAAATACATAAGTTTTTATTAATAAAGGTTATCCTTCAGCAGTCGGCATCGTCGTGGACAGAAACCGGTAGTGGAGGGTCCAGGGAGGGCCGTGACACACAAAGAGAGGGCAGACGGTCCCGGCGACCAGACGAAGGAGCGAATAACACGCCACCACCTAAGAGGGCCAGATCATCAGACTTATACCAGGCGCAGATGAAGACCAGGTGAATATAGTTTAACCTCTCTTTTTAGGCTTAGCATCGTGATGAGCATAACCCAATGGTTGCAGCAGTCGAAGGTGGTTTTGAACTCTTTCTTCTTTTTTTAGTAACTCTTATTCTCTCTCTCTATCTGCCAGTAGAAAGTATATAAATCAAAGTATCCTCTTTAATCATGATAAATACTTTCGTTTGTATTTCTATATTCAAAATATCACTCGTTAACTATTAATTTTGTTCTATTTTCGGAAATATAATCAATAAGGAAACAAGTAAAATTTCGCCACAAATTAGAACAATCGTTCTATATTTAAGAAAACACCTACGCGTGTTTAATCGATCAATTCTCTATTTACGTTTAATCCAAGCTTATTAACCGTCGCCCCACTTTCTAGCAATTATAAATAGTTAATCTTCGATGACAGCTATAATATCCGCTACACAATCATTTATATTCAAATGTGGAAAACTAACATTTAAAAATACGCTCAGAGCAACATCAAAACGGTAAAGTAATTGCAAATGACCATATGGATGCCTAGAAATTCAAATTAGTTTCCTTATCGACTTTAAAATGACGTCGACTAAAGATTTTATTCGATTCTGATTCATAAATGTGCTATATTGTCTGTGCCACCTACGGTTTTTGTGTTTTTTATCTATGACTTATAGGTTGGCATTATTAAATGTTTTAAATATTATAGCCTATATTACTTAGAGATAACGGTGAAAGAATTTCTAAAAACTACGTAGAATCTTTTAAGTTTATTCGTTACATAGATACAAAAATACTAGTTTTTCACTACATAATACTAATAATATATTATAAATTCAAAACTGGAATCATATTATGTAGTAATTTTATACTATACTTACAATTCCGGCATACAGCGTCTCTGTAAATTGAATTTTTGAATACTAAAACCGATTTGTCGTTGGTTCAAAAGTTGACATATTTAATGAAAACTTTAAAAAATATATATATTTATTTATAAGTAATCTTACAGCTACACATATATATACATATAAAAGAAAACAGATTACATTGTTAAACAAAATATACGAAACAGATATTATCAGTGAATTAAGTCCATTAGTAGATAAAAATGTAATTAAAATTAAACAAACAACTTAATATTTTAAAGAAACTGTTACTACTGCTAAATAAAGTCAGTCTTCTAGCTTCTTAAAATATTTCATCTGGAACTATGACACCACTTAGTTATTATAACGCGAACAAAGCTTTCTTATACCATCCTATATTGTAAAAATTTCCACAAAGGTCGTACTAAAAGGTTTTCAATTTATCGGTGTAGGACGGAGCAACTGTTAGCGTCGCAGGGCAGCCCAGAGCGACTTGCAACTAACGGACACGAGATGGCGCTCTTCAGCCACGCTTTGGAAAACGCACAAAACCCACACTTGTCAAATGTTTCCAATAATCTGGTAAGCTAACCATATTTGATGAATCCTATAATTATAAAATATATGCATGTAAGTACTTTTCGTGTAAAATTTTCCGTAATTCCTTATTTTATTTCTTTAGTATGTTCATGTGCTTAATCTCCAATATAAAATCAGTGGCGCTACAATTTTTAGGTCTGGGCCTCAAATTTCTGTATCTGTTTCATGATCATTTATCAACCTAATAGGCAAGCAGGTGATCAGCCTCCTTTGCTTGGCACACGCTGTTTTTTTTCTAAGTCAAGCCGGTTTCGTCACGATGTTTCTCTTGATTGTTCAAGCGAAAGCCCATTAGTGCACAGCCGGGGATCAAACCTACGGCCTTGAGTCTCAGCGTGCGCCAACACTGCTCTCAATATCCGCTATAGATATTGTTAATGGACTGGACTTAAGTGCACACTTTGTACAACTCTGCTTCCCGATACCACCAGAGTACCAAAAAATAAGAAGTCAACTGTTACTTTTGCAATTATCACACGTAATTGTCGTTTCAGTCGGGAGACGGTGAGGAGTCATCATCAGATGCTGGCGCGAGTGACACAGAAGGAGACAACAGGACCAAACAAGAACCGGTGGATTACGATGACCCAGCTACCATGGCCAACACCAACGGAGCGTTACCACACAACTTTCCTGGACTACTTAATCTACCTGGTACGGCAAAACTATTTATATAGTTCTGAATATTTCAGTAAGTAGATATAATTTTCCTAAAATTCGAATCGTAAAAGCTTGTGAGTATGAACAAGGTAGTGTAAGTCGTATTCCCGAGAAGGTTTTTCTATTTATTTAGTTTTTAATACACTTTACATTCGATTAAGAAAAAACAACTTCGAGTTTAGAAAATTTCTTCATCTATTTTTATTTTCGGATAAATCCCTTTTGAGTATAATCTAGAATTCTTAATTTAAAATGTCATATACCCTTTAACATACAACATAGCGCCCTTATCAAATCTACGCTTATATCCATTGCAACACGTGATCTAAGCGGGAAAGCTAAATACATAAGCAAACACAGTAAGATTTGACCAATGATTCCCACAAGTAACACTGTTCTCTTGTGTAGGTTTCCCCGGTCTACCTGGTCCATCAGGCATACCTGATAACTTCGGTGAGTTGACTCTTTTACCACTAATATTCGGTATGACGCAGTAATGATAATGATAATTAGAGCGGAGATATAACTGCAATTAGATCAAACTAGAACATTACACCTAAACAGTTGAAACACATTAATTATGAATTACTGCGTCATGCGATAGCATTAACGATAAAATAACAAACACGTTACATATAATGAGCGATACGCAATAGCGACAATGGAAGTTAAGCGTTAGAGGTAGTCCTAAGAATGAGTAGTGAGTAGGGCGAGCGACTGAACGTGCTCCGTCTGCCCCAGGAGCCACGTGGGCCGGCGGCGGGGAGGGCAAGTCGGCCAAGGACGAGCGCTACGCCTTCGGCGGCGGCTACGCTAACGGTGAGCCGGCCAAGCCCGCCTGCCCCGAGTGCGGCAAGCTCTACAGCAACAATAGCAACCTCAAGCAGCACATTCTGAACGTGCACGCGGCGCGCGAACTGGCGCACGCCTGTCCCGTCTGCGGCAAGGGCTTCAAAACGCGTCAATACATGCAGATCCACATGAATTCTATACATGGCGTCAAACAGAGGAGGCGCGATCCCGCCCCGTCCGCCGAACTAGACCGATACACTCACAATAGCCTGTAAATGTTTTTAACCGCCGCCTCTGTGTTACAGGGGCGGCTCTCGCGGGCGGGGCGGCGATGGGCTACCGGCCGCAATGTCCGCTCTGCGGCCGCGTCTACTCTTCCACGTCCAACCTGCGCCAGCATATGCTGAACGTGCACTCGCAGACCGACCGCGACCAGTGGTTTCCTTGCCAGCACTGCGGGAAGAGGTGCAAAACGAAGCATTACCTCATCAACCACCAGCTGCAAGCGCACGGTATTCGCCAGCGGCAGAACTCTTAGAGAAGGCGCTTCGCTCCCCCGCTCGTCGACCTGCGGGCCGGCGCCGACGTTCCGTTATTGCGATATTTTTAGACCATGTATCAAAGATAGGCCCGTTTATCGTCGGATTTGCCAACCGTTGAGTAATATTAGTGTCGGCATTGCAGATGCCGCGCGCGGCGTGTTGGCAAAGCCGGCGATAAGCGTTCACGCGGAAAGGGAAGAGCGCGGGAGCGACTCGCTAAAGTTCTTTGAGGGCGACAAAGGTTTGCCGGGCGAGCGGCTGCAGTGTCCGCTGTGCTTCGCGATATTGGACTCCCTGGCATACGCGCGACTGCACCTCGAGGCCCACTATCCCCGGGACAGTCCGGTGTGCCCTGTGGCCTCATGCGCCCGGTATTTCGCGCACCCCAACTCGGTCCGCAACCACATGAGGATAAAGCACAGACGGCAATGGGAGAAAATGAAGACGCTCAAGTGGAGCTGCGGCTGGACAAACTGAGATTCCTGACGAAAGACTTAGATGTTAGCTATCGTAAAGCTGAAGGCTGTGAGAGTGGGAGTGGGCTTTATTACAGAGGAACCCGAATATTGATCTCTACAATGCATTTTCATATTTTGCAGTAATTGTTCGTATGTAAACATTGTATAAAACTGTAGAGTAAATTGACTGAAATTATTTTTGTAGTAGAATAGACTGATACTTTTAAGTATAACTTAGACGCGCACTGAATAAGATCGGAAATGTCGATGAAATTTCGGCTTTGATATTTGAATGGACGATTGGTTCAGTGCCGTCTGAGAGATAGTTGTAAAGCGCATTATGACTTGTGATGATTGGTGCCATTGATAGTTTACGAAGAGCAACTAAGAGATTCTTTTCCCTTCCAAACGTGTCTCTAACTTCCATTGTTGCTTCAATTTCATGTATTTCTTTATATTTAAGTTCCTAATATAGTAGATATATCGTATTTTAAATTATAAAGAACAATTTTCGGAAACAACCTTTCATGTATATAATTCATGAAGGTATTCTGGTTGTACGTATTCATCGGTTTGTGTAAGTTAAACGATGTTTTAGTATACGGTGCAACAGTTTTTTTAGCGAGATCCATTTTTTATTTACCGTTCTCTGGCCTACTTTTTTTACAAGAATATACAAATACAAAAGTGCCTGCAATATTTAGAATCGAGAAATTGTTGCACACCATGCTTCTATATTTTGACCATAGATAAGACAATACGAAATAGAATTAAATGAAATCAAATGCCTTTCAAAGCAATAGATAAGAATATGTTCAACAAAATAGGGTTTATTTTTTAAAGTCCGTTTAGAGCCTTGTAGGCGACGTGCACAATCAAACATATCTAGTCAACGTAGAAATCGAAATTTATGAATCTTGTATATATTTCCGTTCGCATATATTTTCTGATATAATATATAGAGCTACATAGTTTATAGAGAGTACATATTTTTCAATAGAAGTCGCAATTCCAAAGTGAGAGAACACAATACGTCTTTGTGGTTTTAAACTGCTATATTTTGCATAAAGACTGATGATTCCTATAGAATATAACGGTCACATCCAGAGTCTACCAGTAAAGGTAGTACTGGGGGTAAAATCTTTATGGAGAAATCGCCCTAAATACACAAAAACTTTAAGCTAACTAAAACAGCTCAATATGAAAACAATGGCATTATTGCTTAATTTTATAAAGTTCCATACATACTGGTTAAAACCACAAGACTGGGTTGTTCATTAAAAAAATATATGCGATAGGAATGAAATAGTTCCGAATATATTAATCGGATGAAATTTAGGAAGTAGATAAAATTGTTCCTGAGGCCTGTGAGGCATTGTATTTAAGGAATATAAATATTTTAAGCGTACAATTTTAGTCCCATAACCAAATGTTCAATGTGAGTAACGAGTCTAGTTGCGATTGTATTAGTGATATCTTATATACGTAATTTAATTTTTACCCAACGAAATTGTCTGCTTATATGAAACATAACAATAAACCTACGAAGTAGAATATGTATTTTCAATTATCACTCGCTTAGGAAAACAGGTAAGGATAGTAAGGACGTGGAATAGTTTACGAAAACGCAATTTAAAACCTTGCCATTTTCAGGTGGATGTCGACGAACACAGGACTTGCTGCGCGTAAGAGCTACCGATCCCAGACCGTGCCCGAAGTGCGGTAAAATCTACCGATCGGCGCACACGTTGCGAACTCACCTCGAAGACAAACACACCGTGTGTCCGGGTTACAGGTGAATATTTAAACAAGTTTTAATATGACTATTGCCACGAGAATGTAAGTGCTCCTATTTCACCGTGCGTGGTAATAGAGGACAAATCTTTTAATTTATTTTGTTATTATTAATTACTTGATGTCATGTGGAACATGGTGTTGTGTAAAACAAAAAACTTGGCGATTAAAGAGTGGCGGAGAGTTTATTGCCAGTTCTTCTCTTCCGTTCTACGCCCTTGATTCGAGAACTGGCAGTAAATGTAAAATTAGAAGAATTTGATATATATTTATTTTTTGAAGTTCATAGGTAAGGTTAGGTTAGGTAATTTTTTTACCTATATATAAATGATTTTTGAATTTGAATTAAAAAATCATTATACGACAACTGTGGAATCCAGTAGAATAGGCCTTTTTCTTTGACTTAAAAACTAATATATAGATTTTAAACAGCTTAAAAGTACTTTTGTTTAGGTTTTAATTTAAGAAATCCCCTACTAAATACAGAAATTCAATAATTAATTTTGTAACTAGATGCGTGCTCTGCGGTACGGTTGCCAAGTCCCGCAATTCCCTCCATTCCCACATGTCGCGACAACACCGAGGTATCTCCACAAAGGACCTGCCCGTGCTGCAAATGCCTACGCGTTTTGATCCAGAACTCGCCAGCCAGTAAGTAGTGTACAATTTTGTTTAGCTGGAAAAAGGATAACTGCTTGCTTAAGAAAATATATGTAAACCTCAGAACTATACTGGCTTTGTACACTTTAGTATGAATTTTTATTGGAAAGACTATAATTAAATACACTTTTTAGATTACTAGCAAAAGCCGGTGTAAAGGTATCGCCAGAACAGCTTCGAGCTCGAGCGTCTCCAACAGGCCCTCGCAGGTCTGACATAAAGCTGGACGCAAAATCTGCGGCTTCTGAGAGCAGCTCTATCTGTGGTGACAACGACCATGATGATTTAAGCCAGTCGAAATACCAAGACAGTATTCCCGTTTCACCACCACGTAAGTATTTTGAAGTCATCTGGCTCGGTAATTTTTTGGGTTTTTTAAAGAGTTAATAAAGAATCACCTGGAGATCATAATGGAGATTTGAATTGTGTTTAACCTCTTTTAGATATAAACAACTTGACCAATACGACAATAACAAAAGTGCCAGCGGTCCGGGCAGTGACAGCAAAGGCTGTAGAGAACCTTCCACATGGCATGACGGGTATGAAACATGATGACTATCCTCCTGGCTTCGGAGGCGGCTCAGCATTATTGGACACTTACCTGCAGTACATCGGAGAAAATGTTTTTGGTAAGATTTTCTAATACTGTGTATTTTTTTCCATTGTCTTGGCATTCACAAAAATTATTTGGGACGAATCTTGAACCAAGTCTGAGTGACTTATTCTAATATATAAATATATTATTATATATGTATACGAAAACGCTATAGCTAATTTATTTTACTTGAAGGAATGAACGCAGCGAAACTTGCACAAATGAACGCAATGCACATGGAAAGAAAAACGTACGACGAACCGTCGCCACAAATGGGATCTCTCCCACCGCCACCAACCACTCTTGCGCATCAACGCTTCCTCAAACAAATGCAAAGGCAGTACACAGAGAATATGGGCAAGCCTGACATTATGCGCGACTCTGAACAGCCGTTGGACCTGGGAAAGGAGAGACAAAGAAACGACAGCATCAGCGATGAAACCGACAGACAGGATTTGGAGAAAGACCTGAACAAAGACTACTATAAAGGCTACAACGATGACGACAGGAATAGGATACACATGTCGGAAGACCGAGAGACCTTGGGGCACGAAGACGACTTCTCCGAAGAGGACAACAAAGCCGCCGCCTCATGAAATAACGTATTGTGCGAAACTGACATTGTTAATGGTTTTTGAAACGGTGCTTGAGTGTTATGTTGTCGTTTATTGTTGACCCGTGGAATGTCTAGTGCCATCACTGGTAAGTTCGGTTTGCAAAATGTTACGGTTGACCGTAGACATCTCACCCGACCAAGCCATGTCACTAGTAACCCGTTTTGACTCGCCATTGAGATTGTTTTAGTAGTATTGTAATCTAGTGTAGTGACTCGTGTAATACCCCGTCACGTAGGGTACTTACATAGTAATTCCATCCAGCTACCTCAAATGCGCCAATTCGGCGTCGATTTAAAAATATATATCCACACAAATTGTGAAATTCCATCCATCTACCTCACTTCAATAGATTTTATTTAATATTTTATACAATTTATAGATATAACTGTTGTTTTATGCATTTTGCAGATTGCATTTATATATACTAAATAGAGTATATTGTAGGTAAATATATGCAAGTCATTCGGCGGTTTAGCGCCGTTCGTAGAGTCGTAATGTTTATTTTAATAGTGAATGCACTCACTAGAGGAACTTAGACTGTGTCACAATAGTAGAGTATTGCCCAAGGAGCATTACCGTGTATTCGAGCACATTTTATATTTATAACTGAGCAGATATCTTTGTATACGAACAAATAACAGAGCTTAAAATATACTATAATATTCGTAAGCGCTTACGAATCGGAAAGAAAATATATGTTTATATAGTTCTTTACGGACAAACTCTAAATTTTAACATCTTTTTGTCTTGAGACTGAATTTTTCAAATTTTCGAACGGTTAAAATTCACATATAACTTACAAATGGGGTAATGCGTTGTATATACTATTTGGTGATATGTAAATTATAGAGAAATAACAAAAGCAATAAATAAAGTATACCTTGATGTTGCCTTCTAATAAATGTAAATGGAAAGTGTGGTTTTATGTACATTGATGTCTAGGCAGATCGTACCTAGGTACAAGAATGTTTATTTTGTAGTAATGATGTGGGCTGGTTACTTAACAAATACTGTGATTACAATCTCATATTAGCCTTCAATAATTATACATATTTTTTAGAGTACAATGTTATAGTTATTTAGTGTAAGGATATTGGTAAGCGAGTCACAAATATATTTACTTCCCGAAGCTTAGTATTCACGTTATTCAAACAGAACATAGAGCAATAGATGGAGCATTTAACCTTTTATATGGAAGATTTTTGAATCTGTACAGTTGCCACACTGACCTATGGCCATTAACATAGACAATAAATTAAGAAATCTAATTCTGTGAACTATGGAGATAAACCAACTAGCAGTTGTTTGTAATAATTCATTGTATGAAGAATAGGGATGTTTACTAAAACGTCAGTTTGTTGTCAATGTCAATTGCCCAGAGACAGTGTGGTAGCTTATCCGATTCCCCAATAGAATAAGTACTACGGGTTAATTGAATTATGTTAGTGTGTTAGTGAGATTTAAGAAATAAGTCGGTTTGTGTTTGCCTATACATTAACCTTGTTGACAGTTATCAGTGTTGCCATAGTGAGTAATTATTTCGACTGTACATAAACTTTGTTTAGAGAAGTGTGCTAAACACGATGTTATAGTACTTTTAGATTATATTTACCACAAACAGTTCATAGTTGTTAAAGCACGGTACAGAAGCAATAGTTACCATGTGATGAATATATTTTTCTGAACACAGTTTTGCATACCACAGATTAAATATTCAGCGCGTTGGTATTATACTGATGTGAAAATTACGCATGAGGCTATTACATACGAAATTTTATTTTTAGGTGATCATTCAGGAATATTTTCGGACAATGACAATTGACATAATAAATCAATATAATACCAATCGTTCAAGTTGTTAAAACATATTCTATATATACCAGTGAAGATATTAATAATTAGGACTCTAAGTCATGCTCTAGTATTGTATAAATTATGTTTAGTTACCTTGGAACTTGGAAAGTTCATTTTTTATCTTACCTCATTAGTTCTCTCTTAGGTGTCTTGATGTTCTATGAACATGATTGTTTGTGCACTATTTAATATGTATGCATGTCTTCTTGCGACTAAGTTTATAATAAAAGCACAAACAAATGTTAAAATGCCGAAAGGTCTCATGCTCTTCATTAAATTTGTGTTTTTTTTTAGATTAGCAAATGATTTAGAAGATAATATTTATGTTTATTTGTTCGCCATGTTTATGCCATGTACGTTAGTGTACTAGATGTATGCCGCTTCTCTACATTATTATAAAGAAAATAAAAAATAATTGTTTTGAATATGGTTGTTTTAATGCCCGCCATTTCCTTTGCTCTAAGCTTTAAGCGGAGGTGAGAATGTTAACGTGTAAAAAAAAACGTTAACGTGTTTCGTTAGATTGTGATTAGTCCAATTCGTGTATCCGATTGACCAAAAAGCAGCCAAACGAAACGCACCATAGTTTTGTGATTTGACTTTGATGTCTCAGCCAGCATCCAGTACAGGATTCTAAAATGGGACAGGCCTTTGCATCTTATGTCTAATAAATTTAAAAAGGTAGAATTTTAACCGAAGATAAAAGAAAGGACATAAACAAATATTATTTATTAAATGGAATCACATACATCTTAACTACATTGAAGCCTAAAGCTAAAAATAAATTACAAGTATTTAAACAAATAATACACTTAATACAAAAGTGAAAATATATTCAAAAGACCAAGCTTGCAATTTGTACAAAATTATCTATTACTAGTGAAATAAATTAAATTTGGTGTCGCGATAGTCCTCTACTCTTCTTTCAACTCCTTTTTAGTAAGAAGATAATGAACGCCCCAAAAAGCGGTCATTCTGTAACAAGGCAATATTGCACTATAAGTGGCGTGGTATACTCAAACCTTACATCATGTGTTCAAACTTGTTATAACGTTCAAAGTTATACTTCATTTGGCGCGGTAGGGAAAAATAATGATAGCAAATTTTTAGGATGCGCGCGCACACCGTCACAAAAAACCGACACCCTGAAGTTAGCTATAGTCAACATTTTAGTTTTTTCTAATGTTAATGTCGTTTTTTCTACAAACGTAGAATACAATTATTGAAAATATTTTTATCTTGTTACGCCAAAGAAGTATAACTTCTAACGCGTGTACATAAGTACACACACTTTTTTCTATTTATTTATAGTTGCTTGTATGCTGCAATAAAAACAACGTCGGGAAACCATGACCATATCAAAAACATATTAGGTTCTGTCAGTCGAAGTCTGGACTCTGTATCTTGGGCATAGACCCTAAAATCGGTGAATAGTGAAGCACAGAAGACTGATCACCTACTTGTTAATACAGAATAATTAACAATGTGAACCCAACTGTCTCTACCCTATATGGTTTAATAAGGTACTAGCAATACCGATACCGATGTCGTTGTATCATAAAAGTTTTATTTTACTTAGTTTTCTTAATTTTTAATCAGATTATTAGATACACACTTACATTCATAATCTAATCAATATACATATTTTACTTTACAAGGAGTATATATCTAATACATTTACTATTAAATTCGTAACATAATTTACGTAGAATGTTCGACATTAGTAAATTTATAAATACTCCACAGGTATTATACAATTCTTGATTTAATAAATTGTGCGTGTACTAGGTGTACACACGTAAGAAGTGAAACTTCTTTATGATCTTATTTTTCGAAAAATGATCTACTATATGCAATTTTACAGAAATTCGTTAAATTAGAAAAAGTTTAACAAAAGGCTTTTATTATCATAGACATGAATACAAATATTTCATTTTACCTTATTACTACGAAGATTATTATAGAATTTCATTAATTGTAATAGAATTATTACTATCATTGAAAAACGTGACGATTTGCTACAAAATTTCTCCCATACGTCGATAAAGAAGTTTCATTCCAACGCCGATAAAGAAGTTTGACTTCAAAAAGCAACATGGCGCGTAACCGAAAATATGTTACACTAAATTTTTTTCCAACCTATATAAAGAAGTTTCACTTCAATAAATTGTTAAAAATAAAAACAAAGCTTCAAAATGCAAAACTTTCTTCTTATTTTTAGAGAAGACATTTATTTGTAGAACTTTCCTACACACAACATTTGACGTAGTATTGTTTTGTAGCAGCAAATAATTTCATATTTTGGAGTTCCGACTCGGGATAGGCAAACATACAATAGCCCATGGGTAAAACATTCAACAGCGCACGCGATTATTATTGCATTTTTGTTAGGGATCCCCATTTTTTTTGTAAATATAATGTAGCCTATGTTAGTCTGTGAAAACATTACAAACATACATACAAACACACAAATGTTTCCTCTTTATAATATTAGTATAGATAGGTGAGACAAAAAATTTAAAGCTACTCTAAGAACTAATAACTAAGTCAATAAATGATAATAGAGTTACTTACAGACATGCCAAATGCTATTTCTTGCTAGCAAGTGCTATACCAAGACCGACCAGACTGCCAATAGCCAACACTGCACCTCCCGCGACTGCAATGCCAATTAAACCTTCCTTTTCCATACGTTTGTTAATTTGACGCTGAAATTATTTGAAAACAACATTACTTGTTTACTAATTGGGATTTATTTATACTTGCACCCCTGAGAAAAGGTACTTTAGAAAAAAAATTCATTTCATTCATTAATTGATATTTATTAAGCATTATAAACGGGCATAGTTTTATTGTTTTTTTTTTATAAAATCTGCCATTCATTGAAACTGCTACAGCCTTGCATAAGCATCAGTTAATAATGCAATCATAAATAACTTGTGTCAAAGGGAAAATTTTGACTGCATATCTTAAACATTTGTTTATTACAAAATAGGGCATTGTACTCAAATCAAAACAATGTCAAGGTACTTCAAGCAATAATAGCCATTTCGTTAATTACATTAACCATTAATATTACTGATGAAATAATTTATCTGGTTGTTTTAACAAAATGTAACTCACTACAGATTTCACATTCGATCTTTGACATTATTTTTTTTGGAAATCTCCTCTCCAAGTATTAGGCAATACAGGCTTAGATGATTGGGCCGAGCATTGGTTGCTGTCATTTAATGTAATAAGTGCACAATTTTGTACATAGGGAAGAAATATCCGCACAATATTATCGCCTAGGTCAACAGCAGTTAATGCAAGTATGCACGCAAAAAGACTTGGGTGTGACTTGGGTGGACTTAAAAGGATTCAAAGAAAGGCCACGAAAATGGTCAAAGCACTTAGGAACAAATCTTATAATGAGCGTCTGAAATCTTACTTATTTGACAGTAGTCGATTAAGAGGAAATCTCATTGAAACCTATAAAATCTTCACTGGCACTATAGTGTTCCAGGAATTATGAAACTTTTAATTTTAAGGGAAAATACACATTCGAGGGGTAGTTCTTTAAAACTGAAGACCACTGGCCGACTAGAATAGGCTTCCGGAAAGTGTTATTATTGCAACCTCTTTGGATTCATTTAAAAATAGGTTGATTATTTTCTCCACAACCCCAATTACCTGCGCATTAGCTTATTAAGCTGCTAGTGTGTTTGTAATAACAATAATAATAAAATGTAACATGGTCATCAATGGTAAACTTGATGTTTAACAATGTTTTAACAATGATTCTGGTTTCCATATTGATTTTTAGGTTTACCAAAGTGAACTGATTGTGATTGTTTTTGAGTTCAGGCAGAGACAGACCACAAGGAGGTAAACATCAAGTATGATTTCTACAATTTACAATAAATAAATAAGAAATACTATTAGTATTTCTTCTCTTTGTTTAATAATTATATTAATAACTTACCTCTAACACTAGAACTTGCTGATTAGCTGGTTCAATATCCAGGAATGCTTTGACATAATGCAACGCCTTATTATACTCCTTGATTCTAGCATTGCCAATAGCAAGGTAGAACAGGTAGTCCCTTTTGCCCTCTGCGTGTGTATTGAACAAGTCTTTTAAAAGCAAAATACCCTGTAATAAATTAAAACATTGAATAAGGGTTGAAGTAGCTGAAAATTATTTACAGCAGATGACTCTGTAGCCATTTAACTTGTATAAGAATCTTGAAATGTGACCAGTGTAAGGTAATGTCATTCCCATACAATGTTATATTAGACACTCCCTGAGGTGCCAGTACAAGACTAATCACTCCTCAGTGTCAGGGTAAATAAATTCTTAAGATAAATACAAGATCCAGATAGATCAAGACTATTCCTTCATACTTCTTGGTTTACTTTGTTTTAAATATTCGCAAACATAAGACAATAAAAATGAAACAAAACTGCTATAAATAAATGTGTCTAATAATATTGATCACACTGTCAATCAAGCTTAGATTGCAAAGATGATGAATTACTGTCTAAGAAATGAATTGTACTTTGTTCGCCCATTTTTGTTGTAGAAATATATACCTATATATAATTATTAAGTCGATTTTGTTATTTTAAACGTCATAACTCATAAGTATTTACTGAAAGTATTAAAACCAATGACTAGTCAAATAAATAAATAGTCTCCTGTCTCATTAAAATATGATGAAACATATAGGTACCTTTCTTATATCTGCAGCATATTTGCTTCTTACAAGACACCACGCATATTCGAACTGTGCTTTATGCGTAACTCTGCCTTGGTGCAACTGTTCGTGGTAAACTTTCTCGAACTTCTAGAAAAGTGCATAAAAATGCATGAGTCACCAGTTTCAAAACATAAAGAAATTGAATCTGTCGTAGAGCGTACTTACTTGCAAATCTTCCGATGAAACCACCTCATCTAAAACGTCATCCATTATGATATTATGAAGTTACACAAAATCTTAATCAACCCTAAAATCTATAAAACATTAAATAATAATAACTTTAAATTTGGGCAATCACAAGAATCTATGCAAAATAATGATTCAACAACCACTCAACACTCAACAGCAAAATTATTGATAAAATGTTGACAATTGACATTTCAAAGTGTACAATGTTCAGTGCGCAGCAATGATTTAAGGAGTCTTATTGGCTATAACACCTAGATAAACAGCTGATATTGGCGTTGTCTCTAGTCACTAGTGACAGTTTGACAGATTGATAGTGTACAAGTGTCAATAATAATAAGTATTCGCTGTTATGTACTCTTATTTACAATTTTCATGCTTTAACGCTGTCGTGGTTATATTATAATATATATCATCAATAATGTATTGTATTGTTATGATTATAACATACGGAAGTCATTATTCGCGCTGTTTCGTTTTCGAATCTTACCCTACGGTCATTGTCGTGTAAAGTGTCAACTATCAAGTACAATCGGTCTTACTAGTCTATGTTACTGATTTTATACTCTATCATTATTCGTAATTCGTCTTCGTTTGCCGTCGAGTGTTGATGCTTGAAGTGGTATGTAAAATTGTCCCCGGCTTTTGTCAAGAATTGGGATAATTGCGATTAACTAGAATAAGCTTTACTTAAAAGCAGATAAATATAATGCAGAGTGTAATAAACACTGTGAAGGGTACAGCCCTGGGAGTTGCAGGATATTTGACTCCGGTCCTGAAGGTTGGTGTAATATTATGCTTATTTATTATTAATATTATTAATTATGTGCGCCTATCGTACACAAAGCGGCGGATAGCGGTCAAGTTCAGAGCAGTATAATCACAATGGATTTCATTACATCTATTATTAAATTGCCATAGGTACTTTATACCAACCAGTCGACGTATTCTTACGTGTTATTAAACTCAAACAGTGCTATAGTTAGAATTAAGTCAAATATAATGAGAATATATACAACTACATATATTACTTTTAAAAATATATTGATGTATTAAAAAATTACCTTATCCAATAGGAATCAAAGTTCCAAGAGACTGGAGTCCTAACTCCTGAGGAGTTTGTAGCAGCTGGAGATCATCTTGTGCACCACTGTCCTACTTGGCAATGGGCAAAGGGTGAGGAAGGCAAAATTAAGCCTTATTTACCAGCCGATAAACAGTTTCTTATTACAAGAAATGTGCCTTGCTATAGAAGATGTAAACAGGTAGGAGGAATTTAGAATCATTTATGATATATGCTTATAAGTATAACCACTAATTGAAATGGCTTCTCTTAAGTCTTAGAAAAATAATATTAATTTGTTAAAAATATGTGTTTAAAGCTTTACACAAATCTTTATAATGCTGATAGATAGAGTATTGTGAAGACCATGAGAAGATAATAGAAGATGAGCAAGATGAGGATGGGGGCTGGGTTGACACACACCACTATGATTCTGCTGGCTTACCTACTATTGAGGAAAAGGTATAATTTCAATTTAAATTGTTTCATTGTTGATTTTGGCAATCATATATTTAAATTATAGCTCAAAAGACACTTAGAATACCTCAACATAATAATGAGATTTCCAAATAAAAGTTGTTTATTTCTTTATTATTTTTTTTTTTATTAATATTGACTACATTAAGTTGACAATAACTATTTGGTATTATGATTTGACATTATATTGCTAAATTAATACTATCTGTTACCACCAAGTTGGTATTCAATATTCCCCTTGTTTTTCACAATCTGAATAAGGCTCTCAAAAAGTTGATCTCTGTTAATAACTTTTTTATATATTAATAACTAAATCAAAAATGCAGTCTTATTCTGATGCTCTAAAAAACAATATTTTAACATACCTTAATTAATTGTTTCAATTATAATTTATCAACTTCTAGGTGTGTGAAATGACCTTAGAGGCAGCGGAGACAGGTGACAGTGATGAAGCAGCAGGAGACCCTGATGACGACGATGATGATGGCGAGGATGGTGACGCAGAGGATATGGAATTATTTCAGGAATCAGGTCTACTGGATGAGGTGGATCCAGTAAGTTTCAAGTTGACCAGAAAACTATAAGAATCGTATATTTATATTTGAAGAAATCTTTTAATTGTATTTATTCAATTACAATATTTATTTTTCCAGTCAACAGCTCTAAGCAGTAAAAAGCCCACCGAAGAAGGATCGCGGCGAGCGCCTTCCGGTAGTGGTGATGAAATAGTGCGTACGCGAACCTACGACTTACATATTACGTACGACAAATATTATCAGACACCAAGATTGTGGCTCGTTGGATATAATGAGGTATTTTCTATGACATTTTTATTAGATTCTTAACAGATGTATACTATTCAGTATTTTCCCTTAATATAATTACAGGAAAGCAGCACACATATAAAGGGTATCACTAGAAAATTGTGGTATTTGAAAATTTATTTATTTCCAAACCGATACCACTTAGGGGCCTTCAAGAAAAGAGTGTCCCATTCCCTGAAAGGTCGGCAGCACACCCGATAGCTCCCATAAAAAATAAACAATGTTTTTTATTAGTGAAAATTAAATTTTTGGTACGCACAAACGTACATACCCAAGATTCAGTGAAACTCCTTTACATAAATAATATTTTCAGGAACGTAAATTGTTAAGCGTATCGCAAATGTATGAGGACGTATCTCAAGACCACGCCAAGAAGACAGTTACCATGGAAACGCATCCTCATCTCTCTGGGCCTTCTATGGCGTCTGTCCATCCTTGCCGGTAAATTTTCTAATTCGTTAATTTCATTTAACCAAAGAAAACATATAGACCAGGGTCGATAATTTTTAAAACCAAAAAAAATTATAGTAGGATGAAACCCATTAGAAAAGGAGGGGAATATTATAAAAATAAAAGGAAAAATAATTTACGGGCGATCTGAGGTCGGGAAGGGGTAGGGGATACAAAAGTTTTAGAGCTTTTTATTACCTACAACTTTGCCATTTGACTTTCTTCGATAGTACTTTTAGTTTTGCCGGAAATCGAGATAAACCTTTTTTTACCCTTAAAACTAACCCCCCTCCCCTTTCCGACCTCAGATCGCCCGTAAATTATTTTTCCTTTTATTTTTATAATATTCCCCTCCTTTTCTAATGGGTTTCATCCTACTATTTTTTTTTTCACTTTTTATTATTTTTAAAGGCTTCTACCCTAGTCTAATAGTTTAACAAAAGAATTAAAATAACGAGTAAGAGATCTGCTTCGTGGGTATTTGCTTTTACTAATAGGTAAGAAGTTGATCAGCTTGCTGTGCCTAACACACGCCGTCGATTTTTTGGGTCTAAGGTAGAGTACCTCCTCCTCCGAGTTCATAAAGTCTTAGGTTCAAACTCGACGTTATGAACGAGAGTCGCATGTTGCTACTTGCATTAAAACAATTATTAAAGATACAGAAATTTGCCCAATAACCCATTTGACTGTTACGGAACGTCAAATATTGGGAATTGTCATCATTTTCTGAAAATTTTCCTTAAATTATTTTCAATTAGTATTTTTCTGGCAATTTCATTCCATGCTTTGAATTAATCTAGTGACCAAAGATAGCTTGTACATTTGCTACAGATTATGATGACCTCTAACATTTCAGACACGCAGAAGTAATGAAGAAGATAATAGAAACCGTGACAGAAAGTGGCGGCGAACTTGGAGTACATTCCTATCTCATTATCTTCCTCAAATTTGTACAAACTGTAATCCCAACCGTTGAATATGATTTTACACAGAACTTCACTATTCACTAAAATGTTGCGCCGGCGCCAAGTATTCGTATGTGCTTAAATCGCTTTTCGGCCAGTATTCATACGAACCATAGACAAAAAGCCAGTGTATTTCATTGTATAGGGTCATTTCAATGGCTTTGTGCTAATACTACGGCCAGGTGCTATATTCACAAATATTAAAATGTCAGTTTACGCCCACTTAAAGCACCGGTGATACGGTATTTACACTCTAAAACTATCTTTCAATTTAATCTTAATTCATTAAAATATCTTATATCTCTTGAAGTAATTGATATTATACGGGATTGGTTTGTTGTAATAGCATTTAATTATCTACAAATAAACAAGGGTATTTGACAATTTCTTCATAACAAGATTTTCTAAAATTTATAAAGTTTGGTGAGGGTAAACACTCTAGGACCTTGAAATCTTCGCTTGAACTTTATTTGTTCGATTAAAAAATTCATTGACCTCGTTCAATGCGGAAGCAATTGTTTTGTCCTTATCGCTCTCGTGGCGTTTGAAAATAAATAAATGTGATAAAAGTATATTTGATTAGGTTTTTTTTATTAAGGCCGTCGTAATTGCTTCAAATTGGAATATTTTGGACCCTTTTTTTTTTGCACAATTATGTTTTAAAAAATAGAAATGAAATATGTGTGCGTGTAAATGGAATGTTTTAAAATAAAACCAAAAAGTTGCATTTCCAAAATAATTTAGCTACAGTAATCCCCCCTATAACGTGTTCGTATAACGCGAAGATTTCTCAAGTTATATTTCTGTAGTGCGAAATTTATATTGATTTGTCAGGTTCATAATTAGTTTTGCGTACCTTTGCACCTGTTTCTATTGTGTTACAAAATTAAACTTAATTTGTAAAATTCGTGTTCCTAGTTTTCGAATTGTCAGAAAAACTGTTTTACCAGAATACTCCTACAACGCGGTAAACCGCGTTATAGCAGGATTACTGATACTTTGATAAATCCTTTTAACTAACGTACAAAAGTGATATTTGCCAATCTCAATAATTATAATACTTTAATTAGAAATGTGATTCAAAATGTTAGAAATTCTTATAAGACTCGGTTTTTAGTTATTGAGAGTGGCCCTAGGTTAAGGTAGCATTTTATGGACTTAGGGTCTTTCGAGAAAAGAGCGTAGCAATTGTAAAAAAAAAAAAACCTTCAACGCACTTGCGAGCCTTGTGATTGTTCATAGGCGGCGGCCCCCTGCCCGTTTGTCTCCTATTACATAAAAAATATAATTAATACTACACAGCAATTTAACCTTTTGGGCCGAATTCATACAAATGAATTATTAGATGTCGTCTTTTAAAATTTGAATTTTTAGGAACTATTTGTAAAATCGCTCCATTCTAGTTAATAACTAATTTTTATGTATTATATGCCATAAATGTTTGTAAATATGGATCTCATGCTAAGATCAATTTATTATCAAGCTTATGTAAACGCTTGATTGTGTTATTGAAATAAATTATGTTTATTTTGCGATTGTGTCTAATTATTTACTATACCTTTGTTGACAGACTTGTAACACCAATATCTTGACGTACATTTGAAATATCGTCGAAAAGTCGAGAAATGGCGTTAAGTAGAATGCTGTCTAAAATGTATTGAATTTGACATAGACACCCTAATTACCTGGACATTAGTAGAAAATATATGATTTTCTGTTATTGTAGGCCTCAATTTTAATGTGTACAATCCATAGCCCCCATCAACGTTTTCAAGTCCTGGCCATTTGAACTGCCCCAATATTCTAGCTCAGTTACATAGAGACATTTTTGTTCAAAATGAAAATTCTATACGAAACATTTTAACTCTCAAGTTTTAATCCATAATGTCAGAAAAGCAAACAAAAAAGAAGACTGCGGAAGAGATGATTTTCAAGAAAAGTGCAAATTTAATTTGTCACCTTTAAAAATAGCTGTATGCTTAATATGCTCACAGACTGTGTCGACATTAAAAGAATATAATATAAACAGGCAGTATGATACAAAACATGAACAACAATATAAAAACTTAACCAGACAACTCCTAATAGATAAGTTTAAATTTAATAAGATTTAATCTATGTGCGGACCGGCAAAAAATATTAAATTGGCCTATTGATTAAAAAGCTTGCTCGCCCCTGCGATAGACAACATTAAGTTTTTGTATTCCATAAAACTATGCATCAATTAGAATCATAAAATTTTCAAAGTTAAAAATAAAACAATGCAAACCTGTCCCCCTTTAAATCTGAACGGTGTATTATTGAAGCAGAAAGACAACGATAAATATCTCGATAGTAACCTGTCTATGGTTGTATCTTATCTTGCGGGTTGACTTCGATAGATTATTAATAGAATTTAATCAAAATGATCTATCATTTTTACCAAAATTTAATTTTCGTCGCTGGATGTCTTCCAATGAATTTCACTATAGTAATTACCAACTTTAGGAAAAAGGTCACGTGGAGTGAAACACATAAAACTTTATTTATTATTTATTATATCACATTCATTATGTACAAATAATGTTCCGTAATAAAATATATTCAGTATACGAGAAGCATTTCAAACCATAATTCGATTTCTATACAAAATAATACAACTTAAAACATTAATAATGCTACATTCCTTATTAAAAAATCGTATAAAATAAAAAATTTGAAATGTCATAAATTAATATAAAATGTTTTCTTCACACCAACTCTTGCCATGTTTAAAAAAAATATTGAATTGTAGATTTTTTTTCGAAATAACAACTTCTATTACACCAATATTATTCCTTTCCATATAAAAACTAATATGATATAAGACGCCAGAGAACATTGTAGAAAAGTTTTCGCAATTCCAATATTGAGTGATGTAAAAAATTTTACTGGTAACATTGCTAAAATATACAGTTGAAATCACCTAACAGTATACTGGTAAAACAATTTTTTTTTTTTACAATTTAAAAACCGTTATATGGAGATGGAATCGGAAGCGTTATAGGGGTACCGCTTCATAGGGTATACTGTATTCTATATCCTGACCGAAGGACTTGTATCCATAGTCATGTAAAAAAATATTCCATGTTTAAATTTCGAAAACTTTTCTATTTACTATACCTACATTGAAAAATTAAAATAATTGGAATGAATAAACCGGTTTCCCAATTGAAATAACATTGTAGTACTTAAATTATTTTTATCACAAAATAACTTCAACGCCTACTAATAAATAATAAGTTTACATTTCGCTAGTACAATAGTTATAAAGTTAATAGCTTTTTTTAATAAGAGCAATTTGCTAGTGAAATTTTCGTTATAAGTATATCTCTCCTTGCGGGGTTATTTTACGTAGCTACTATCAGAACCTTACCAGATTTTGTTTATTATCTATTTATATGATCGAGATACATAATTAGCTGTGTTTCCGGCGACCTTAGGGCCAGCAACTTCCACTTTTCCACAAGAAAAATCAATATACATATATCAAATCATAGTTAACAAAATATTGTAAAAACTATTTTAAAAGAGTAAGTATGGAGTTTCTTGCCCATTCTTCTCCATATGAAACTACCTTTTGGAAGGGGCAATTATTTTTATTAAATATTTTAAACTTGTAATTTTGACTTTCAAATGTGGCTTTTTAATAGGCCTAATTAAAATAGATGCTTTGAGTTTAAAAATCTTATAAGAACAAAAATAACCCCGTAAAAACGCCAAATTTTAAATTATATTTTTATTTAATTTAATCTAGTAATAATAATGATCCGAGTATATTTTACATATAAAACTTCAGTCTAGATTCACTATGGGTCCGACCAACATGCATTCATAGCCAAAATTTAAAAAATATGATTATTTATTCACAGAAAACATTTTTCGTATAACTTTCGGTCATAGATAAAATTTATCTAATAGATTTAAACTTAAATTTCAATGTCATTTAAAGTTTTAATTGCCTAATTTCACAATTTATTAAAGAAAGAACCTACACCAATACCAATGATTGCCCTCTTTTGGTCACGCGATGTCAAGATTTAAAATAATTTCAATCATAAATTTAAAACATTTTAAAAACAATAATATATTTTGAAATTTAAAATAACATTTTAGATTGACATTTAAAGAAATTGTCACACTGATAATAGTTTGAATATATAAGACACATTTCTGTGTCTGTTTATTTCAGCTGCCCTAACAATCTTAGTAGGAGCAAAGAAAGAAGTTTGTCCAATGGGTCTAACGCACCCCGCTGCAACCATTTGGGTATCGTAGACCGGGCATGGCTGAAGCCGAGTTTTTGAAGGATGTAATCCACTCCGTAGGGCTCGATAGATTTGCCCGCCCACGATAGTAATCTGAAGTGGTTAATTTATCTTAGGTTCGATAACTGTACCGTGTAACTAATGTAAGAATACCATGCTTTTATATAAAAGAGAAATAACAAAGCCATTATGTCTAATAAAGATACCAGTTTCTATATTACTTTTTAAGCATTTTTTAGTTACATTAAATATATCTATTTGCTGGTAGTTTGTGTTAGAATCTGAAGGTATACGATAAAATTGTAGAATACTTAAACAAATAATGTTTTTAAATTTTGAAATTACTTTGAACAAGACAACAAATTGATATTAAAAGATTTATGATTATTTATACATTACCTGACGGTGGGTTCCAGGTGCCAAGTGAGGCAGTGGTAGTCCCGATAGTCCAGTGGTGGAATTACTAGAGTCGAGTCGCTATGAGACACGCGGCCTCCCGGCATCTTTACATAATAATAATGTTAATTAAGTCTTAAATATGTTTAATTATATATTCACTTATGAACGATAGATTTTTGACGTGACAACGTCTAATAAATCGATGAACGCCGGCTACATGCATGAAACAGCATGTCTCACTGTCCCGTTACGCTCATTGTCCCGTTACGCTCGTTGTACGCTTGCGCCGTACGTACGTATGCAGTGATTTCATCAATGTTTTGTTATGTCGTTGTCACGTTAAACTATCGTCCGTAAACC